CTTTTTTGAACAACACACAATATTAGAAGATTCACCCTCCCATTATTTATGTTACTTAATATTTTGGTTTCACCTTTTAAAAAATCCTCTTATATTTGAAGTATTTATCATTACTGCTTTTTAATACTCAACATTAAATTAGATTTACCATATTTTTACTATTTTTTCTGTTCACAGTTAGTGCTTGCTGAAAATCCTGTTTCCTGTATCCAATTTCTTTCAACTTAAAGAAAATACTTGAGTATATTTTAAGTAACAATTGATTATTGGTAAACGATTTTAGCATTTGTCCTAAAAAATCTTGATTTCAGTCTCACTTTCTTCTTTAAGTTTATTTATTTATTTTTGTGTGAGAGAGAGCGTGAGCAGGGGAAGGGCAGAGAGAGGGAGAGAGAGAATACCAAGCAGACTCTGCACCATTGGTGTAGAGTCCAGTGTGGGGCTCAAACCCATGAACCACGGGATTGTGACCTGAGCTGAAACCAAGAGTCAGACACTTAACCGACTGAGCCACCCAGGCACCCCATGATTTCAGTCACACTCTTGCATGACAGTTTGAGTATAGACTTCTTGATTGTTTTCCATTAACAGTGTGGTCATGCCTATTATTCTATTGTCTTTTCTCCTCAATTTTTGTTGATGAGAAATCTGCTGATAATGTATTATTGTTCCTTTGCAGGAATTTTTTTTTATCTTGTTGCTTTTAAGATTTTCTTTCTATTGTTGCTGTGTTTCATTTTGTTTAGGTGTACATGATTTTCATTTTTCCTTTAATAGGGCTCAGAGATTCTCTGCTCAAATATTGCTTTTTTCCTACTCTGTCTATTCTATCACTCTGGAACATTTGAACATATAGGTGGCCTTTTCATTACCTTCTTCATATCTGTTAATTTCCTTTTCGTATTTTCCATCTCTTAATGGTTAAGTGCTACATTCTAGGTGATTTCCTTAGCTTTGTCTTCTACTTGATTACTTTCTCTTGATTTATTTAAATGCCATTGAGTTTTTATTTTTATTTTTTTAAGTTTATTTATTTATTTTGAGACAGAGAGCACGCACACACACATGCATGAGTGAGCTGGGGTCAGGGCAGAGAGAGAGGGAGAAAGAGGATCCCAAGCAGACTCCATGTTGTCAGCAAGAGCCCAATGTAGGCTCCATCTCAGGAATGAGATCTTGATCACGAGATCATGACCTGAGCTGAAATCAAGATTTGAATGCTCAACTGACTGAGACACCAGGTCCCCCTCCACTGAATTTTTAATTTCAATGAATTTTTATTTTTGACTGTTTTATTATTTTTCGAATCTGCCTGTTTATTGTTTATTTATTTAAATGTTTATTTATTTTTAAGAGAGAGAGAGAGAGAGAGAGGCAGAGTGTGAGCAGGGGAGGGGCAGAGAGAGAGAGGGAGACACAGAATCCGAAGCAAGCTCCAGGCTCTGAGCTGTCAGCACAGAGCCTGACACGGGGCTCGAACTCACAGACTACAAGATCGTGACCTGAGCCGAAGTCAGACGCTTAACCAACTGAGCCACCCAGGGACACCTGCGTGTTTATTTTTATAATGTTCTCTTGTTTAATTATGGTTTCTATTCTTTTGTCTTTTTAATACTTTAAAACACTTATTTTGTAGTCTCTTCAAGACTTTCCTATTATTTCTAGTTCTTGGGGTACAGTTTTCCTATTTGCTTGTTTTCCTGATCTCTCTCATGATGGTTTATTTCTTCATCTGACGTGTAATTTTTTTGTCGTTGTGAGCTCATCTTTAGTTGGATATGTTTACTCTATGGAAATTATATTGCACTCTGAAAGCATCCTCACAGGAGACTGTCCCCACATAACAGTTTTTAATTTTTCTATAGATTTGCATTTCCTACCGGTTTCTGGTATCTAGGGATTTTATTCCCTTAGGTTTTACAAGCATATGTATGTTTTTGTTGCATAAGGCAAGAATAGACCACTCAGATTTAATTAATCAGCTTGTTGAAAGTCCCATGTAGTGAAAAAGATAAATTTTCTGTCTAACTTGCAATTGGATAAGGAGACACAGCTAATTTAATGTAAAAATTATGCCTAAGTGTAAAGTCTTGGAATTATCAACTGAATGTCAGCATTTTAGTAATCCTTAGATTACTAAATTAGATTTGTTTCCTTTGCCTAGATTATGTTTCCTTGGTGTGTGTCTATTTACCTTGTCATGATATTTGTAAACACAGTGGCATTTGATAAAGGCTGGTGGTATTTTTTAACAACTGGGTTTAATTTTGCTTAGTCAAATTTTGTGTATTAGATGGAAAAGCACTGAAAATGCAATTGTAGATAAAAGCCTAATTTATAGCAAATATCCATATTTAATAAGTAGAAATAAACTTTCGTGACATACACAGTTGGCCTGGAGATTTGGAAAACTACCATGGGCTTTTCTCTGCTTCTGTCTAGTTGTATGACTGTGGGCAACTCATTGAAGATCTTTAAGTCTCAATTTTCTCATCTCTAAAAAAGGGGGTTGGCAGTTTTAAATTCCACAATTCTAGAGAGTGTAGAGATACACAGTGTCATTTGAAAATACATTGAAATCCTAACACTGCCAAATTAAATAAAATGAGAGGTAGAAGAACCAAGACACAAATTGCTCTTTTAAAAATAGGATGTAATATTTGGAAAATAAAGCTAAAAAAAACCTAAAAACAAAAGTTGAGAAAACTCTCAAACAAGATTATCACAGATTTTAACTGTATAATTTAAAAATGCAAGTCCCTTTGCTAAATTTTTCTACTATGAAGTGATGGTGCTTGAACAATTGCACAACTGTGTGAAAAAATAGAACCTTGACCCATACCCAAAAGTCAACTCAAAATGGCTTAAACCCTAAATGTCAAACTCAAAACTATCAAAACTCTAGAAGGAAACACATGAGAAAATCTTTGTGACCTTTGATTAGGCAAAGATTTCTTAGATACCACCAAAAGCATGATCAAAAGAGAAAATATTGATAGACTGGACTTAATCAAAATCAAGAACTTCTCTTTGGATGACATAATTAAGAAATTAAAAGACAAGCCATAGGTTAGGCCAAAATATTTGCAAAGTATATATCTGATACAGGACTTGAATCCAGAATCTATAGGTAACTCTCAAAACTTAATAATGAGAAAATAAGCAACCCTTCCCTCTCTCACACAAGTTGAGAAAAGATTTGAATCCAAGATATATGGACTATAAATATGTAAAAAGATGTTCAACATCATTGCCATAGGGATATGTAGATTAAAACCATAAAGGACATACCACTACTCGTTATTTGAATGGGTAAAACAAAACAAAACAAAACAAAAATACTGTTAATACCAAGTCCTAGCAAGGATGAAGGCAACTGGAATTCTCTAGATGGCTGGTAGAAGTGCAAAATGCTCCAGTCTCCATGGAAAAACAGTTTTGCAGTCCTTATAAACATACATTTATCATTTGACCAGAAATTCCACTTCTGGGTATATACCCAAGAGAAATGAAAATGGTCATTAAAAAAAAAAAACAAAACCTGCATGTCAATGTTCATAGTGACTTTATGCATGATCACCAAAAAGTGGAAACCATATAAATATCCCTCAACTAATGAACTAATAAACAAATTGTGGTATATTTATACAATGGAATATGACTCAATAACCCAAAGAATTGAGTTACTGATATGCATTATAACTATATTCAACTCTAGATGAAACTCAAGGTAATTATGCTGAATGAAAGACCTATATGATTCCATTCATATGACATTTTGGAAGAGGCAAAATACAGAGAGAGAAAACAAATCAGTGGTTGCCAGGGCCTAGAGGTGAAGAAAGGGGTTGATCACAAAAGAGCTCAAGGGAATTTGTTAAAATAATGAAGTGTTTTATAACTTTATTATAGCGGTGGTTACAAACCATATGCACTTGTCAAAATTCATAAAACTCACAACTATACGCTAAAAAAAAAAAAAAAGATGAGTTTTGCCATTTGGAAATTATCCTTCAACAAACATGACTACTCTCAAAAGACTTATAAACAATGCTTATCACAGATTTTAATGGTAACACTTAAAAGTATAAGCTCCTTTGAGGGGTACCCCACTGGTTCAGTTGGAGGAGTGTGTGACTTGATCTCAGGGTCATGAGTTTGAACTTTGGGTGAGAGATTACTTAAAATAAATAAATTAACTTAAAATAACAAATATAGTCTCCTTTTTTTCCAATGAAAAAATTGTATCATAACAGGGAATCAATAAGGAACATAAAATTAAAATATCAAAATTAAAAATACCTGCAATATAAAATGTATATGCTTTAAAATAAGTATACTAGGGGTGGCTGGCTACCTCAGTCAGAGGAGCATACAACTCTTGATCTCGGGGTTATGAGTTCGAGCCCCACGCTGGGTGTAGAGAGTACTTAAAAATAAAATCTAAAAAAAAAAAAAATAGTAAATATATACAGTATTTAAAAGATTGTTTGTAATTTTTTATCTTTTTCAAAATTTTTTGATTTTATGAAATGAAAAAAACTGTTTTTCAAAGAAATACTACGGTTTCATTTTTCTTTCAAATAATATTGATGATGAAATTTCTCGAATAAACCCAGCTTGCCACCTTCAGGCAAGTGAAAGATTTACAGAGACCATGACCAGAGATAGAACATTAAATTTTGTAGATTTCTCAATAATCCATAATCAATCATATTTTGATCACTCTATTATTACTGCCTTTGTGAAATTTTCTCTACCAGGACATTTCCCTGACATTTCCTGGAATATTCCCAACTTTCAAAGCTCAGTTCAAATGCCACTAACTCCAAGAAGCCTTCCCTGATCACTCTAGCTAGTTTTTCCTCTAAATATTTTATCTTCTTAAATACATGTAATGTCATTGAAGGTAGTGACCATGTCTTACACATATTTTTATGCCTTTGTATGGCTATTAAAAAGGGTACATATAAGTTTCTCTGCTCCTCCCTGTTCAACAGACAGCCGCATCTTCTGGTGCAGTGCCAGGTGAATCCCAAGACACCATGGTGAAAGTCGGAGTCAATGAATTTGGCCATATTGGGCACCTGGTCACCAGGGCTGCTTTTAACTCTGGCAAAGTGGACATTGTCGCCATCGATGACCCCTTCATTGACCTCAACTACATGGTCTACATGTTCCAGTATGATTCCACCCATGGCAGATTCCATGGCACAGTCAAGGCTGAGAACAGGAAACTTGTCATCAATGGAAAGCCCATCACCATCTTCCAGAAGTGAGATCTCGCCAACATCAAATGGGGTGATGCTGGTGCTGAGTATGTTGTGTGGAGTACATTGGGGTATTCAACACCATGGAGAAGGCTCACTTGAAGGGTGGGGCCAAGAGGGTCATCCTCTCTGTCCCTTCTGCTGATGCCCCCATGTTAGTGATGTGCATGAACAATGAGAAGTATGACAACTCCCTCAAGGTTGTCAGCAATGCCTCCTGCACCACCAACTGCCTGGACCCTCTGGCCAAGGTCATCCATGACAACTTCAGCATCATGGAGGGACTCATGACCACAGTCCATGCCATCACTGCCACTCAGAAGATCGTGGACGGCCCCTCTGGGAAGCTGTGGCATGATGGTTTACAGGCTGCCCAGAACATCATCCCTGCTTCTACTGGCACTGCCAAGGCCATGGGCAAGGTCATCCCTGAGCTGAATGGGAAGCTTACTGGCATGGCCTTCTGTGTCCCCACCCCCAATGTGTCTGCCGTGGATCTGACTTGCCACCTGGAGAAAGCTGCCAAATACGGTGACATCAAGAAGGTGGTGAAGCGGGCACCAGAGGGCCCCCTCAAGGACATCCTGGGCTACACCGAGGACCAAGTCGTCTCCTGCGACTTTAACAGTGACACCCACTCTTCCACCTTCTACGCTGGGGCTGGTATTGCTCTCAATGATCACTTTGTCAAGCTCATTTCCTAGAATGACAATGAATTTGGCTACAGCAACCAGTTGGTGGACCTTACGGTCCACATGGCCTCCAAGAGTAAGAGCCCCCTGGACCACCAGCCCCAGCAAGAGGAAGAAGAGAGAGGCTCTCAGCTGCTGGAGAGTCCTTGCCCCAACTTATCCCCCAACACACCTGAGAATCTCCTGACCTCCAGTTTCCATCCCAGACCCCCTGAAGAAGGGGAGGGGCTTGGGGAGCCCTACCTTATCATGTACCATCAATAAAGTATACTGTATCCTGCCAAGCAAAACAAAACAAAAGTGTACAAATGAGAGTTGTGTATTCTAATATTTATTGAATGAATATGTGAATGAATGGATGAATGAATGAATGAATGAATAGGAAGTCAGAGTCATCACTGAGCCTTCATTTGAAAGAGGGTCTATTTTACTAATAGAATAATGGAATTCTACACATTTATTCAAGATTATATGCATATGTATAAAGCATCAATTTTCATTGACAATGATTAGAAGTGTCTCAATCTTTATTAATCTTTTGATTAAATTATAACATTCATGAGTGAATTAATGACTGCATGGTGAGGATCTTTATGATACTAACTCACATCTTAATATGTGGACAACAGAAACATAAGATTAAAAAGAGAAGAAAGTGTGATAGTTTCTTTTACATTTGAACTGAAAGATGGGTACTTCGCTAAGTTCTAGGATATGTCTGTCTATTTTTCCTCCAAATCTCCAAGTTGCTAATATCTTACAGACATGTTAATAGAATACATAACAGTGGCATGGTGGTGCCTGGGTGGCTTATTAGGTTAAGTGTCTGATTTTGGCTCAGGTCATGATCTCATGGTGGGTTCAAGACCCACATTGGGCTTTGCACTGACCGCTCAGACCCCGGATGGAGCCTGCTTCGGATTCTGTGTCTCCCTCTCTCTGCCCCTCCCCTGCTTGCACTCTGTCTCTCTCTCTCTCTCAAAAATAAACTTAAAAACATTACCCCCCCCCAACACACACACAAAGAAACTGATATGGTGTCGATCACATCACTCATAGAAAAATTCCCAACTGTTTCTATCTAGTTCTACCTGGTTTAGGAGTGAGGTTCTTCTTCATGCTTCCACTCCCTCCAGAATGTACAAGCTCCCCTCCCTCTCTTTCAGGGCTACATATCCAAGACTGCTAAATGACAAACGTCATAGATTTTGGTTTTTTAAAGGAGGAGGGGTCCACATGTGAGGATGGTTCATCTTCTTGAATTCCTTCTATTAGAACTTTCAAGCCTATTTCTCTTGCCCACTTTGAGGGCTCTATGCCTTCTAGTGCTCCTTATTTTTCATTACATTCTTCCTTCTTTCTTCCCTATTTCTAGGCCCAGTCCTATCAGTCCTGAGAGAGAAAATAACCAGTTCTTCATGTACAGGAGGCTCTAGTCTTGGCCCTCAGGTCAGCAATGTCCTTGAATCTTTGTTTCTACTCGGGTGAGGGCTGAAAAGGAAGAAAGGCCCTTGGTTTACAAGTAAGATAAAAATAGAGAAGGAAAATACAGAGAAACAATCAGATTCATATCTTGGCATACAAATCTGCTACAAATGCAGATTTATAACACTTACCCTGACTAAAAGTTTGTTCTCTCTCTTCCAATCCTGCATCTTTTCTCAAAATGTGAACTTGCATTTTCTCCTTCATCAGCACCTCTCTTCATCAGTTTCAGCTCTCGAAACACACTTTCTAACGGTACCCCGATGATTTCATTGACCACATCTTTTTAAAATCATCATATATACACTGTAGCAGTGGCATCTTTTTCTGGCTATCCTTTTCTTTCCCTTTCATTTACCTTGGTTGATTCTAACCAAACATCTCCAAACTCATTATGTATGTCTTCAATTGACTCTCTAATTCTCTTTTCACCCACTTACAATCTGGCTTCTCTCTGCCTCTCTTTACCAAGACAACCATTGTTTTGGTCAAATTTATGAATTAAAAAAAATCCATTTATTTGACACCATTGCTCACTATCTTTCCCTGACTTCCTGTTTTGATTAACTTTCTACATCTCACCACTTGTCTGGCATTTGTAAATTTTTGGGTTTTTTTGCATTAATTTCTTTGATAATTTTTCTTTCTGCTCCAGTTCTTTCTTTCTTTCTTTCTTTCTTTCTTTCTTTCTTTCTTTCTAAGTTCATTATTGAGAGACAGAGAGACACAGAGCATGAGCAGGGGAGGGGCAGAGGTGGGGAGACACAGAATATGAATTAGGCTCCAGGCTCCGAGCTGTCAGCACAGAGCCTGAACTCACAGACTGCGAGATCATGACCTGAGCCGGTCTGTCGCTCAACCAACTGAGCCACCCAGGCACCCCCTCCAGTTATTTCTTTTACATTGTAACATTGATTCTATGTTCTCCTATCTTTCCTGGAGATGATTTTAAAATTCCATTCCATTGTTGTACATCTCTAATATTGAGGTTTCTTCCTGTCTTTTGGATGGTCAGAAACAAATTTCTTGGATTCAAGAATATTTTGAAAGACTGCCTATGAGATAATAGCAGCAGGGTGCAATTTATACTCCTCACATTTCTTTAAATATAACTTATTTCAGGTTTTTCTTGTGACCCAAAGATAACAGGAAATAGATTCAATGTTGTTTGCAATACTAACCTTTCTTCTTAGATTCAACCCATGCATTTTCTATTTTTATTGTCTATTTGTATCTTGTTTGCCATTGAAATTTGTAAACTAACTCCACGGGAAATAATTGTTCTTTTAATTTGGAGTAGCCTGGAGCATATGCTATTAATGGTGACATGTTTTAAATGTCCTTGATTTTAAAATCAACAACATTTGAGTTTTTCACTTTTACTTTTCCTTATTCTCGGTTTGCAGGGGTTTTTCCTGGATACACTCATTAGGTGATTCTCAATCAAGAATGGAGTCATTCTATAATAGTTAACTTGAAAACATTGAAAGAAAACATATTAGGCACCAAGATTTAGATAATTTAGAGAATTCCATCTCCCATCACTGTATAGTGGTTATTAATGTGGCAAATCTTGGTCCTATTACCTCTTTGTTTTATTGTCTTGAGCAAGTGTGTGAGCCTTGATTCTCTCATGTGAAAATTAGGTATAACAATAACCTACTTCTCTGAGTTTTTGTGGGGAATAAATGAAAAAATTTATATTAAATGCTTGACTATTAAGTGCCCAATAAGTGGTAACTATCATTGGTCTGAAATGATTCTGTTCACTTTCTTATGAAGTGACTTTGATAGTACAGTGCCATATACTAAAATACCATGCCCTGTTATTCACCAATACTTTGTATTACAAATGTGTTTTTTGCTTTGTTTTCTGACTTGTAAATATTTTGAATTTCTAAGAGAATCTAGAAGGTTGGGAGATTCCTTTAATGGATGAGAGAAATCTGACATATTCTCCTATTGCTAGGTTTATTCCTGTAGCACCCAGGTTTTAGAGCTATAGAGCTGTTAGCTGGATTTCATTTGGTACCATTCAAAATCCAATAAGTTTGCATTTTAGGAGATGTTAATCAGTGCCACCTAAAAGCAGTTGGTACATTTTTATGAGCACAGAAAAATCTTGGGGTCCAATGACATCTTTTGAAGCCTGATCAGATAGGAGCATAGTGGCCTTTAATTAATGGTGAAGGGACAACTTTGAGTTGTCTTGTTTGGCAGGAAGTGTTGGTTAATTCTAACAGTAAGAATAGTTGAAAAGCCCAGGAAACAATCTTCTTTCAGCATTGATTTTGTTACAATTGATACTACTTACAAAGTTGGAAGGTTCTATAATAAGATCCCCCCCCCACACACACAAATACCTTTTCTGAAAAAGTCGCCCCACCTCTGTTGTGTATTTGTTTATCCTTTCAACTATTGTGGTTTCCAAGAAGTCCATTATCCATTAAGTGAGCTTAAATCCTGTGAAAATCAATAATTCATTAATCCATCCAGAAAATTAAACAAATATTGATGGCTTATTTTGAATTACTTTGCTGGGCCGAAATGTACTGTGGTTTTCTAAAGTTCCTGCTTTTGTGTCTAGTTGTGAGAAAGAGGAAGAAAATACATTGAAATGCAGGGTCCTATGAAGGAAATGCATAGCGTGTGGGCCGTAGGTTTTGGACACTACAGAACTCGAAGTTCAGCTCTGCAACGCAGTAGTTCTGAAATGAACAGGTGATTACAGACTGAGCAAGGTGAGACTGTGTCCTGGAAACGCTGCACTCAGAAAGGTTCCAGTTCTGGCAAAGGGTCACATCACAATAGGTGTGTGCAGGCAGAACAGGGTTACACTGACCACAGTAGCTTAGTAAAGGGATATCACCTGGCTCTTCTGCGCACAAGTGGGAGAGGGCCCTCCTGGACCTTGGGGCGGCATCAAGGCCCAAGGCGAAGCACACACCCGAAGGTGGAGGGAAACCCTCGGGGGTGGGCTACCGGTTGGGGGCCCGGCCAGGTCGCGGGCGTGGGGAAGCTTTCCGGCGGCAGGGCGCCACGTCACCTAACAGCTCCCCCTCCCCTCGCTCCAAGTCGCACGCGCGGAAGTAAACACCTCGACGTCATCAGGGCGCGTCTTCGCCTTTCCCCTCCCATCTCCCCAGATCGGTGGACGTGCTCACCTCCGCTCCGGGCCAGGTCTATGTCCCGGTTTCCCGCCGTCGCGGGCAGGGCGCCAAGGCGGCAGGAGGAGGGTGAGCGGTCAATAGACCTTCAGGAAGAGCGGCCTTCGGCTGTTTCCATCGCTGATAGAGGTGCGGTCCGCGGGACGCTGCGGAGGCCAGCGGGAGTTTCGGCATGGGGGCTTTTGGGGGGATAAAAGTACGCCTTTGGCGAGCAGAGAAAAGTGGAGAGGAGGCTGCAGCGTTCTTCTCGCCGTCCAAGCCGGAGGCGAACTTTGCCTCCAGTGAGCACTTTGGTTTTGAGGGGGGCGGTCCCAGATCCAAGTTGGGTGAAAACCCTGCTGGGGGACAAAAAAGTGAACCCCAACGCCTAGACGCGTTCTGCTCTTAAACAGGTTCTTAAAGCCTTTGTTCTCTACCCATCCAGCCCCCCACCCCACCCCCCGCCCCGCTCGTCGGGCCGCCAGCTTGCCTTTGGGTATGGTATGAAGGGAGCCAGTTTCCAGGAGCCAGTTTCCATGGTTACCCACCACTTGGCCTTCTGGGATATCAGTCACTCTGAACAGGGACCTAACTTGAACCATGAATCAGAAGCAAACACAGGTGGCTTTTTAAAATTCAGCCGAGAGTTTCCTGCAGTGTTCTAGCTTTTGGTCTATTGTTTAATAAAATTGGGCTTGGTGCTTCTGTATGGGTATGCTCGCATGTACATTGCCTTGTGCTAGGCCTACTTTGTCAAGTACTCACGTTGTTAGATTTTACTAAAAAGTTGTTCTGGGCTTGTAAACCCTTACATACCAATTTGACAAAGGTGACTTACCTGAGAAGTCATGGATCGATCCATTCCAGCCCCAAAATTCTGTTGTCTTTCTCTATTCAGTTCTGGGAAATTGAGTTAGAGATATCTTTACAGGCCTTTTAATTGCACAATTGTTTTTCTGTTATTACAGAAGAGAAAGGATGCACATCACAGGAGGGAGGAACTACTCCAACTTTTCCTATTCAAAAACAAAGAAAAAAGCTTATTCAAGCTGTGAGGGACAATTCATTCCTTATTGTTACTGGAAATACAGGAAGTGGTAAAACCACTCAACTCCCAAAATATCTATATGAAGCAGGTAATTTTATTCTGGGATAATATTGGGAGTATTTAAAAAATAACCTCTTGGGACACCTGGGTGGCTCAGTTGGTTAAGCCTCTGACTCTTGATTTTGGCTGAAGTCATGATCTCACAGTTGTGGGATCGAGCCCCTAGTCCAGGTCTGCTGAGAGCGTGGAGCCTGCTTGGGATTCTCTCTCTCCCCTTCTCTCTGCCCCTTCCCCTCTCATGTGCGAGTGTGTGCTCTCTCTCTAAATAAATAAATAAACTTAAAAAAAATCCTCTTAAAAGCTAATAGGACTCTGTATTGCACAAATACCCACCATTTGTTTTACAGTCCCGATTCTTCTATTGACACACCCTCCCTACATCTTTCCTGCTTTTTTATGGTGTTATTTCACATTCAGGAGGTAATTCAGATGACGTTTTTTCCATTTTTAATTGTCATAATAATCTCAAATAAAATTATAGGTAGATAATGATTCTCTGCTATAGAATGAGGTTGTCTTGCAGTTAACCACTGGGTATTGAAATAATTTTCAGGAGGAAGGGATATAGTGATATCTGTTGCTGACATTAGTATTTCTTGGTTCCTTCTCCAGAGGGTTGTCAGGTAAATATTTATTCCCTGATTCCATAACACCAAGCCAACTAACAAATTTCCTACCCTTAAAGTGTCTTTAACTTCAATATGGTAAAACTTCCTATCATAAGGTTGGTATAGAGCAAAATTATATTGGATGTTATTCATATAAAAGATGAAAATTTCTTCTCTGATATTAACTTATTCTAATCCATTAAATCTGATGTGCCATTTTTTAAGACATGGAATGTCTTGTTTTTGCATACTATTTTTGCAATAGTATAGTTTTGCATCCTATTAATTAATAAAGAAAAAAGCATCAATTGTAAGATGCATCTTTCAGAAATACTAAAATGGTAAAAATATGAAAGGTGGTATGTTTAAACTTCTGTGGCAAAAGTAAATCTAGGAATTCTGTGGAATTTATGGGATTCCTAGGGATTAAAAATTTTAGACTTATTCTTTAGTGTAAATCATTAGACTGAAATTGGAAAAAGCTAATTAAAATATGTATATTTTGAATATGTATTTTTATTTTTTTATTACTAAAATCTCCATGGTACATTGGGTAAAACGGTATGTTGTTAATTTGCAGGGTTTTCTTTTGGAAACATTTGAACAGTTTGTGTTGATTGGTCAGAAACAATTTAGCTCTAATTGGAAGCAGTTGTTAACAGTTTTGTGTTTTTTACCTCTGTTTTTGATAGGGTTTTCACAACATGGTATGATTGGGGTGACTCAGCCACGAAAAGTAGCTGCTATATCAGTTGCTCAGAGGGTTGCTGAAGAAATGAAATGCACTTTGGGATCCAAAGTAGGGTACCAAGTTCGTTTTGATGATTGCAGCTCTAAGGTACAAAAGTTTTATTGCTATAAGTCCTGTAAACTTATAGACAGATTGGAGAAAGTTATGAAAGATTTTAACTTCAAATTTGCACTTGTATTTTATTTTATTTTATTTTTTTTAATTTTTTTTTTCAACGTTTATTTTTTTGGGGACAGAGAGAGACAGAGCATGAACGGGGGAGGGGCAGAGAGAGAGGGAGACACAGAATCAGAAACAGGCTCCAGGCTCTGAGCCATCAGCCCAGAGCCTGACATGGGGCTCAAACTCACGGACCGCGAGATCGTGACCTGGCTGAAGTCGGACGCTTAACCGACTGCGCCACCGAGGCGCCCTATTTTATTTATTTTTTAAAGTTTTTATTTTTAAGTAATCTCTACACCCAATATGGGGCTTGCATTATCTTACCACTTTTCCCCTTGGATCTCACAACCCTGAGATCCAAGAATTGCCTGCTCTTCTGATTGAGCCAGCCCCTGCATTTATAATTTTAAGAAACAAAGCCTCAGATTAGAATTAATCTTGTTTGTGCACCTGAGCCCAGTCAGTTAAGCATCCGACTCTCGATTTTGGCTCAGGTCGTGATCTCATGGTTTGGGGTTTTGAGCCCCATTTTGGGCTCCGCAGTGATAGCTTAGAGCCTGCTTGGGATTCTCTTTCTCCCTCTCTCTCTCTCTGCCTCTGCCCTGCTCACAGTCTCACTCTCTCTCAAAAATAAACTTAAAAAAAAAAAAAGAAATTAATTTTTTTTGCCCATTGTTAATGATTTGTTGCCCATTGTGAATGAATTAGCTTTCCTATTTTCTGTCTTCTCAGTTAGTTTATAAGTGACATGTTTATTTTTTTAAGGATTCTCTTATTTTTTAGCTGTAAGAATCCTTGATATATAATTTACATTTGCATTCTCTAAAACAATTTTTATAGTATTAAAATATATATAATGTAAAATTTACCATTTTAATAATTTTTAGGTGTACAGTTCATTGGCATGAAATACATTCACAATCTTATGTATCCATCACCACTCTTTATTTTCAGAACTTTTTTATCATCTCAAACAGACACTATATCTACTAAACATTAGCCCCTCCATCCCCCCTCCCTCCAGCTTGTGGTAACTTCTATTCTACTTTCCATCTCTATGAATTTGCCTTTACTAAGTACCAGTTATAAGTTGAATCATATAATATTTGGTCCTTTGTGTCTGGATTGTTTCATTTATCATAATATTTTCAAGGTTCATCCATGTTGTATATTTGTATTGCTAAAGTCAATGGAAAATGGACAACTTAGAAAAGTCAGTAAGCAAGTATTTATCGAGTATCTTCTGTATTCATGGTACCAACAAGTTTAAAATTGTTTTATTTTTAGTAGTTAATGGTCACAATTTATATTCCCTCAGGATTTTTTAAATCTTGTATCAGATACAAAACAATCCCTATTCGAATATGGTTCTTAATAGGAATGGCCATCATTTATGGCACACAGTGACTCCCCAAAATACTGTCTTTGCCTTCCTAGTGGGAAGTGGGGAATTTTCTTTCTTTTGTCTTCCCTTGTTTTATGTTTATATTGCTGTTAACTCGTAGCCTTTGGTTCTTATTCTCACCTTGTTTTTAATGCTAGTCGGCTTACATAGTTTTTAAAATAAGAGAGTAGTGAGGGAAGAAGAGAGTGAGAAGAAATTGTGCACCTATTTCGTCTACCTTTTCTCCTGAGTCCTCTAAAACAGTGGCTGAGACAGAGATGGATCGCATTTCATTGCTGCTTCCTACAGCTTGCTCATGTGAAGGCATTGCATTATCTTACCACTTTCCCCTGACTACTTTATATCTCCGTATTGTCACTTTTGTTGCTTTATCCTAGAATATCCACCTTAGTTCCTTATCTCTGTCCCTGTGTAGGTCACGTGTTTTATAATTTACCATCCTTGTTGTTAGGCTATTTTATGTACTTTTTTATTTAGTCAGATTAGTTAGAATACCTAATGTCTGTACATTTGGGGGAAATTTTAGTCTGTAAAGTAGGGGTGAATTTCTGTAACACTGTATATGTAAGTTGATATACTCTGCTGTTTGAACATTAGGAAACTGCAATCAAATATATGACTGATGGATGTTTACTGAAACATATTCTGGGAGATCCAAATCTTACCAAGTTCAGCGTCATCATTTTAGATGAAGCCCATGAGAGAACTCTAACTACAGTGAGTATTTTAATATAATGGTTATTTATTAGTTTATTTCTTTGGGGTAACTTTTACCTTGTAGAGAATTGTCTGGTCTTACTTACATTTTAATCTGTTGAAATAGGAGTTCTTTGGTTAGGAAACCAAAATATTTAAAATAAGTTGGTTTTTAGGTATACTTGTGACTTACTAGAAATTTACTTTTTTTCAGGACATCTTATTTGGCTTATTAAAGAAATTATTTCAGGAGAAGGCTCCTAACAGGAAAGAGCATTTGAAGGTTGTGGTGATGTCAGCAACTATGGAATTAGCCAAGCTCTCTGCATTCTTTGGAAATTGTCCAATATTTGATATACCTGGAAGGCTTTATCCAGTCAGAGAAAAATTCTGCAATTTGATTGGCCCACGAGACAGAGAAAATACTGCTTATATCCAAGCGGTAGTACTTGACATCCTTTTTATGTCTTTTTTTTATATTCTGATTCTAGTTGATTAAGTAGTTTAGTAATTCATTTGTTCCCTTTTATTTTAATGGCAGCCCTCATAGTTCCTTGCACTTTTGAGAACCAAATTTAATTTTCCTGTGGAACAAGGGGAAATGATTGGGAGTGGGGTACTCTATTTCCACTATATTATATTATAGCATATTATGCTTGTGTTTCTTGCTTTAGATTGTGAAAGTGACCATGGATATCCATTTAAATGAAATGGCTGGAGACATATTGGTTTTCCTGACTGGTGAGCATTCAGTATCAGGTTTAAAAATTTAACTATTTATGAGAAGCAAATGTGGCACAATAGAGTGTTACTTTTGTTGGGAAATCTGAGCTCATATTTAACTCACATTGCCTCTTTATGATTTATCTGAATAGTTGTAGATGTCATGCCTTATATAAGAAATATAACAGAATTCTATACTGCCATAAAAACTGCCAGTCTCATTAGTAAACATACATAAAATACACTGACCTTTTAGTAAAAAGATATTAAATGGTAAAGTATTAATATTTTTCTTAGTCTGCCTTATATAGAGGTGTGACCACACTAAACAGTCCTGGATCTGAATGATTAATTCCATTATTTCAAAAGACATCCTACCAGCTCCTTTCTTCTTTGAGTGGTGGGATGGTACTGTGTGATAGCAGTACACGAGGTGTTAAATCCATGTCTCATAGACAGGCCTTTTTTGGAAGTCAAAAATAGATTAGTTAAATCCTAAACTAGTGTGATTCTTCAATTAGCAGCATCCTACTAACAGAAATGAGTCATTTCATCGCTCTCCTCCTACTCTGCCTTGTACTGTCAGAAGTGAGACATTGTAACAATTGCTGCCTTTTTCAGATTACTTTAAGTATTTTGAAATACACCTAAATGCGGTATCTCTTGGACTAGATACTCCTATATTAATGATTAACTTTACTGAGTCTTTCTCAAATACTGTGTTAACAAGATAAAAGTCTTGAAGATTATAAACATTTTTATTCCTGAAGAGGTTTAAATTGCTTGGGAACTGGTGTTCAGTTTTTAATTTTATTGTTGAGATTTGGTACAGTTTATGTGTTCATCTCCTTTAGATCAAATGAGATTTAAAATAACTATTATGCAAAACTAATTTTAATCTAGAAGGCTTTTTTCCCCCATTCTTAAATAATATTTGCTGTTCATTTGCTGACGTTATTTTCCTCCCTCATTTCAGGTCAGTTTGAAATTGAAAAAAGTTGTGAGTTACTTTTTCAGATGGCGGAGTCTGTTGACTATGATTATGATGTTCAAGATACAACTCTGGATGGTTTGTTAATATTGCCATGTTACGGATCTATGACAACAGGTAATTCCTCACTAGAATAGATAATTTGACTAATTTTTTTAAAAACTTTATTGAAAAATCACATATGTACAGAATAGTGCACAGATCCCGAGTATTTAGGTCAATTAATTTTACAAACAACTCATTTTTGTAACCAGCACCTAGATCATAAAACAGAACGTTAAGGGAACCAGCCTTCCTTAGGGAAGGGATTTTCCCTTGAAGTCTTTTCATATTCATTTTTTCAAGAGCCTTGGACAACCCTTGGTGTTAAGAGTGGACTGTGTCTCTCCCAACAGAACAAAAATATTGTTGGTAATTTTTTTGAAATGAGGACTATTATTTCTTTTTTTCTTTTTCTTTTTTTTCCTGTGCACATGCGCAAGTCGGGGAGGGGAAGAGAGAGGATGCCAAGCATGCTCTCTACTGACAGTGTAGAGCCTGATGCAGGGCTCCATCCCACAAACTGCAAGATCATGACCCGAGATGAAAACAAGAGTTGGATGCTCAACTGACTGAGCCACCAAGGCGCCCCAGGGCTATAATTTCTTGATAAAAGTACCATAAGTCAAACCTAATTTGCCAGTGCCAAAGAATTTCTAGAAACATACATCTAGGTACATCTGAGACATAAACACAGTAGATGGTTTTCTTTTGAAATAGCACATATTAATCTGATTTTCAAGAATGATGATGTTCTTTTGTAATTTCAAAGAGCAAATGCAAACTCTTACCCTGATATTTGTTCATAATAAATAGTGATGAATTAGGTTTAGGATTTGTTTAGTAAAACTACTTTATTATGGAATTTGATATGTAAAACTAAAGAGAAGTTATTTATAATTTGATTGTGATTAGCATTTAATGTAAAAATAATATGAGTGTTTTTATATTTTATGTGTATTTTTGTTTCGTTGAGGAGGTGGTTCTTACTCTCTCTTTTTTTTTAAATTTTTTTTTTTAATGTTTATTATTTTTGAGAGACACAGAGACAGAAAGCAGGGAAGGGGCAAAGAGAGAAGGAGACACAGAATCGGAAGCAGGCTCCAGGCTCTGACCTGTCAGCACAGAGCCCGATGCAGGGCTCGAACTCACAGAGCACGAGATCATGACCTGAGCCGAAGTCGGCTGCTTAACCGACTGAGCCACCCAGGCGGCCCAGTTCTTACTCTTATATTAAGAAAAAAAGTTTAGGAATATATATTTTTATAAATAACTGTAGACCACATGCTGGTTTGGAAATCTCTTTTGTGATGATATTAGGCCCTTGCCCTCAATATTGAAATCTTCTTTTAGGTTTTTATATCTTTAAGGGAATTCTTAGGGTCATTATTTGATATTTTAAGGTTTTCATTGTTTTCTGGAGATTTGATCCTCTGGCTCCTTTATAATTTACTTTGTTAACTGCTAAGGTAATTCAAAACTAATTATGGTTGCTTTGTTATTTTTTTTTAAATTATTTTTTTAATGTTTATTTAAAAAAATTTTTTTTTTCAACATTTTTTATTTATTTTTGGGACAGAGATAGACAGAGCATGAACGGGGGAGGGGCAGAGAGAGAGGGAGACACAGAATCGGAAACAGGCTCCAGGCTCCAGGCTCCGAGCCATCAGCCCAGAGCCCGACGCGGGGCTCGAACTCACGGACCGCGAGATCGTGACTTGGCTGAAGTCGGACGCTTAACCGACTGCACCACCCAGGCGCCCCTTTAATGTTTATTTTTAAGAGAGAGAGAGAAAAAGAGAGAGTGAGAATGGGAGAGGGACAGAAAGAGAGGGTGACACAGAATCTGAACTGTCAGCACAGAGCTGGACACGGGGCTCAAACCATGAACCAGGAGGTCATGACCTGAGCTGAAGTCAGATGCTTAACTGACTGAGCTACCCAGGCGCCCCACGGTTGCTTTGTTATTAACTATTAATAATATAAATGCATTTTTCTGTATAAATAGTTTCATTCTTTGTCATATTGAAAATAACATGCTGAGTCTGCTAGTGCATCTTGTTTAATGTCCTGAAATCCAGTTTTTATACTTTTAAAGGTTGCTAATGACCTACTTCTCAAATCTCATGACTGTTTTTTTTCCATTAGTTTGTATTTTGGTTTTGTGATAATAAGTCTCCCTGAAATGCTGTCGTCTGGGATAATATTTAATTACCTAGTTCTCCTGACCACTCTTTCTCTAGGTGTGCTGCCCTCCCACCCTTCCCAGCCTTTGTTTCTCTTTAAATGTGACTATTGCTTAAGGTTTTATCCTTAGTTTTCTGTTTTCTTAGAATTCTTTGTTTTGGAGAGGTTGGATCCTAGGACTCACCTGTCACTTCTCTATGGATGACTGTCTCTAGTTCAGTCTCTCTCCTGAACTCTGGACCTCCTGGTTTTCCTAATGGGGCTTACTGGTCTGCATCATATCATCCTAGATCATTCAATCCAAATGTGACCACACCTATAGGTGTTTTGTGTGTGTGTGTTTGGGGGGGGGGGGTTGGTCTTTTGTCCAGATCATTCATTCATTCTTTTTCATTTTTCATTGTCATCATTAGAGTTGGAATCTTCAGTTTGCTTTCCTAAATTGTTAACATAATCTGCTAATCTGTTTTAATCTTTCAGAAGCACATCTCTGATTGTGTCAGTTTCTTGTTGGGTATCTTCAGCCATTCCTTATTACCAACTGAATTAAAATACTAACTTAATAACTTGGCATTTATTATCCTTCCAGTGTGATTTCAACCTGCTTTCAGCCTTAATTCCCAGTGTATGAGATTTTCTGTGTTGGTGTGTATGTGTGAATGGTAAAGATATAGAACTGGGTGTCAGGAGAACCATTACTGAAGGGCTTTGTTTGTTTATTTTAGTTTCCCTTCTGGTTCTAAGGGCACGATAAAGTTGAGCTACTGGTGATCCATTATGAGCATAATAATATTTATTGGAGCAATTTATAAGAATGCAGAGAGGCATTCAAATTGAGCTAATGAGGTACTGAGTAATGGGTAACGTGAAGTTGGGAGAGAGTGGCAGATTCCTGGGATCATAGGCTCTTTTTTTAAAAGCCTGGTTACTATAATACTTATAATATTTTCTTTATTATTGCTACTTTGGGTGATGGAGAGAAACACTATATGTTATTTCTTTTATTTCCCATTATGCTTTAGGAATAGAAAACTTGGACTTGGGAGTGAGGAGAGCAAAGAAGGGTTTCCTGCCTGTGGCCTGTTGTGAGGGGGTTCAAAAATGACTCATACCTAGGTTTAGTGAGTAAGTGAAGATTTTGAGGTGGATATGTTGTTTGCTTTTATTTCTGGGCTAGCTATGAGGGTGGCTTACTGTTTTAAAGGGACATCTTAAGGTATCTCTCTAATTGACAAAAAAATTCTCAAATGTCAAATGTGAAGAGATGCTGTGGTATCCCTTCTACTGGCAAGATTATATGATCCTGCTCCCTGGGCTGAACTAACCCCCCACCCTTTGTGATGTTCTCTCAAGCTCAAAGTGTAGGCAGTATTTTTTACTCTCTTTCCACATCTTTTTTGTGGTTGCATCTGCTATTTCCTTAACTTGAACTCCTCCTTTGCCTTTTATTCTCCCCTCTTACTGGCTGAAATCCTGCTATTTTGTTTCATGAGTGCAACCACCTCCATAAAAACCTCCCGATTTCCCACCTTACAACTGGCTTTGATCTCGTCTTCGTTTAATCCTCACTGTGCTTTCCTGTTCCTCTTGTGGCACTTCACACATCTTACCTTGTGTTATGGTCGCCTCATCTCCTTTATGAGATTATGAACTACTTGAGTATTATATGTTGAAAAAGTCCTGATCAGATGTTTGTTAAATTGAGTTCCAGAGTTTTCACTTTCTGCTAGACATTCTGTTGATGTTTTGCATCAAATGCTAGCTATGTCTATAACCTTATTCTTGTTTCCCTCAAACCTTTTTGCTCTTCTGACTTCCCTCTTGCAAAACCTGTTCAAAGTTTTGCAGTTTTTCAGGTATACTGAAATATACCTGTTATTTCATAAGTGACAAATATTTGCATGGAATTTGGCAGTTATCTAATTCAGTGTTCTTAACCTTTTTTGAGGATGGAGTCTCAGATTCTTTTTAAAAGATAAAGCCATGGTTTCTTTCTCTAGAAAAATGCAAATATACCCATGTATTTATTTTTTGCATAATCAGACTTCTTTATTTTACAGATAGAGACTAAGTGATGTTCCTGAGGTCACAGGGTAAAACTGCATTCCATAACTGGTTATCTATTCAGTAGGGACGGAAAAAATGAGTACCTGTTTCCAGAATACATGAAGAAAATGAAAGGAGATTTGCCTTGGATTAGTGTGCAATATTTTCTCTTCTTTTTTTAGAGAGAGAAAGAGCACAAATGGAGAGGGACAGAGGGAAAGAGAGAATCTTAAGCAGGCTTCATGCTCAGTGTGAAAATTTTTCTTTTGTCTTGTAAAGAGTACATAGTTGTAAAATAGAATCAGAAAAGTAAGAAAAGTAATTAAGATTAGATCTCACCAACATGATTAAGTAATAATCACTATTAATATTTTGAGGTATATGAACTTTTTCTTTATATATTTAAATATATTTTTATTGTTTAGTTTTTTCTAACAAAAAATGGCATTATATTATGTGTTTTCTTTTGTTTTTCTCTTCAGCCCTTTGTAGAAATTTTTAAAATATAGAAAAGTGCAAAAACAGTCTATTTCCCACTATGCAGAATTAACACACTCTTAATGTCTCAGCATTTTTGCTCCAATATTCACTTAAGAAATATTAGTCAATTAAGGAAAAATGATACGATTTTCATTATAAAGAATTCAAGCAGTGTACAAAATTACAAAGGTGAAAGTAAAGAAATCATCTCAAGTTTGTCCATACAAAAATAAACATCTTTAACATTAGGAAAACATTTAGATCTGTGTGTGTATGTGTGTGTGACCATACAGAAGGATAAGTAAATATATAGGCAGGTTGATAGAAATACTTATACTCTTAGTTGCTTTTTAAAAAAGTATTTA